TGGCAAGAAGAATTGGAGCATATCGCCGACATATTTCAAGTATGAGTGCGAATCGAGTGAAGCTCACTAACGAAATTCTCCACGGGATTCGAGTAATCAAACTCTACGGATGGGAAGACATTGCAAACGAAATGATTCGCGATGTCAGAGTGAAGGAGATTGCGTTGTTACGGAAATTCAACAATCTGCGCCTTACAAGTTCGGCGATGATGTTCCTAGCGCCCACTCTACTCAATCTGGTTTGTTTCTCGGCGACAATACTACTCGGCAACACATTAGACGTGTCATCAGCATTCTTTGTTATGGCGCTTACGACTGCATGTCAAAACGCGTTCAGTGTGTTTGCCGATGCGACAGTTGCATTAGCTGAAGCCATAACATCCACTAAGCGACTAACAGAATTTCTATCTGCGGATGAAGTTGTCGACACTAATAAAGAATCGAACACCCCAAAACAACTGCCACTGGTCTCTATAGAAAATGGAGATTTCCAATGGGAGGAGGACGCTGTCATCCCAACACTTTCCAACATCAACCTCATCCTCGATCCTCAGACACTAACGGTTGTAGTTGGAGCCGTGGGGAGTGGTAAGTCCAGCCTCGTCAACGCTATCCTTGGAGAAATAAAACAAGTTCGCGGCGAACGTGTAGTACATGGTAACGTGGTATATGCGAGTCAGCAAGCTTGGATCCAGAATGACACAGTGCGCAACAACGTCCTTTTTGGTGAGGACTACGACGCGATTCACTATCGAAAGGTTATTGAGTCGTGCCAGCTTCTACCAGATTTTGAAATGTTGGACCATGGAGACCAAACAGAAATTGGTGAACGTGGTATCAATCTAAGCGGTGGTCAGAGAGCACGAATTGCTCTAGCTCGAGCGTTGTATCGCTCTCGACACTTTGACTTCGTGGTGTTGGACGACCCTCTCAGCGCACTCGACGTCCACGTGGCGAATAGTGTGTTTCTAGATGGAATCGATGGCATTGGGCTGGGGAAAACACGCTTGTTAGTGTTGAACTCACACTACCACTTGCTGCGCTATGCACATCGAGTGTTGGTCATGGTGGATGGACAAATTGCGGGAGATGGCAAATTGGAAGAATTGGAGCACCAGTTTCCGTTCCTAAATACAGCATCAACGCGAGTTAGTGACGTGTCGGACGACGGAACTAACGATGCAAATATCTTTGAATTGATCTCGAAAGGGCATAAACCAGCTAAATGTGAAAACGTGACGCCAGGAAAGCTGATCACTCAAGAAGACCGACGAGTAGGCTCTGTTCACATTCAAAGCTATATCGACTATCTGTCCTCTTCGGAATGGGATGGGCGTGTACTTTGCGGAATAATTATTGTTCTGTTCAGTATCGCTCAGATTGCACTATTTTCCTGCGACTGGTTTTTGAGTCGGTGGTCACGAGGGTCGGTGTCTTTAAGTCAAATGAACTCATTGGCGGTGTACGCGGGGATAGTTACTATCGCCGTATTACTTGTTACTGCTCGGTGTTTCTTCCTCATCCAAACTTGCATGACATGTTCGATTAAAATTCACTTCAAGTATCTTCGCAAAGTACTGGTCGCTCCGATTCCAACATTTTTCGATGTGACCCCCATTGGACGAATCTTAAATCGGTTCTCGCG